GAAATTCATACTGTATACCTAGTGTATCCCACAGAAACTTCTTGCCAGAATGCAAACTTCGTGGTATGCCAAACCGTCCATTTTACGCAGGGTTTCAGGCAAATTTGTCATTTCAAATTTATAACTAATCTACCGTAGTCCTATGGAAAGATATCATGCAAGAAAAGGCGAGATTCTTTATCAGCTTGTAGAATGACTGTAAACTCAGCACTAGGGGAATTCGTAAAGTTGAAATTTTGGGATTTTAGGACCCAGACAACGAAACTGCGCATTTAATATATTTTTTCACTAGTCTTACCTTATAGCTGGTGTAGTCGCATATCCAAAAATCAATAAAACCACTACGGTATATAGATGGTCCAAGAAATCTACACTAGCATTTGTCATCACGAAAGCATATACGACGTAGAGTACAACACTCATCGAAATTAATGCAGCAGCAAGGACATCCGCCGTAAGCACATTAGCGAACACCTAAAATTGCATAAAATTTCCGTAATAGCTAAGAGTCCACTACTTACATATTCAAACATGATGTACAGCAGAACAATCAAGTTCAAATGGAATACTAATCGAGCCACTCCAAATACAGCTTCCCAATAGGTATACTTGACGGCAGACACTAGAAAAAAAATTGTTATAAAAGTGATTGAAGAGCCCAAAAAACCTACAATTCTTTTTCAACTCGCTTAAAAACTGCTCATCTCCTCCGGAGTAGTTGTCAGGGAATGGTTGTCTCTTGTACAAAATCTTTTGCCACTTGAATTTTTTGGATGAGGCCATAGATAGTAACTCTTCAATCCTATATGGCAAATCCTTCCGCGTCTGTGACTGTAATGTCAAAGTATAAAGCATATGAATAGACTCCTCAGAAAAGACACAAACATCAGTTCTTTACTGTGTCGCAACTATAGCCCTCTTCAATCCCAAATTCCCTTGGAAAATAATCCTCGAAGGTTTTGAGTTAAATTCGAGAGTATTCTTTCTCAGACAACTGATCGGAACTTCCGCAGAATGTTTGGGAAAATGCCGCCGGATGAGCTTGCTCAATTGAGTTGACTACAAGACTCACTATCCCCTGCAGTACAAATGACGTTTGCCAATGTATCCTAGTTGATGGCGGA